TTCAAATGTCATTTCCTGCATATTATAAAAACTTTCAGCAGCAGCTGAGTCTTTTATGAATCAAGACTAATTGACTTATATATTGAGGGTAAATATTGCCCAGGTGTATGTAAAAATATAACATAAGTTAATATACACACACCGCAGCATATTCAAGTGGAAAGCAACTTACAACATGTTAATATTTCCCATTCAATCTGCAAGAACCACAGTCAAACATGCACATTTTAAACCACTCTATGAGTCTTTTATTTTTGTCACTTGTTTTTCAGTTTAGCTGCACATCACTTCATTCTTCTTTCATTGTATTTCACAATATAAACGTGCAGCTCGAGTGGACACAATTCATCATTTAATATGACATGTTTGTTCAGTCAGGAGCAGGTCAGTGATTTACGTCAGCAACTGTCAGCTTTTCCATCTCACACAGATCCGGACCGGTGTGGTGCACGCTCCCGCTCATTCAACAGGCTCCAGCTTGACGTATTCTATGTTATCTTTTATCATCCTCCTTCATATGAAAGAGGGATGTGCCAGTTTCATCCAAGCAGGTCATGCTCCTCCTGCTCCTGTGCTGGTCTCCCTCTGATGCATCTCATCCGTCAGGTCGTAACATGTCCCTGACGATCAGAATCCAACAAACTGTGTGATGACTGCACCTGAAGCTGAGTGCAGGTGAGTAAGCATCATAATCGAGACCCAAACTACTTCATCCTGCAGAAGACTTATGCAGAAATTTGCACTGAAGGCTTATTGTACAATTTTTTAGTTCTTGCGTCAGAGTATCTAAGGAAAAAAATGCACAAAATGATCAAGATGCGAGACAAACATTTTTTCTTGAGTTTTAAAAATAATTGAGAAACATTCCTTGTACATTTTCCTTTTTGTCTGTGACTAATTTTCTTGTTGCTGAAGATGAAGATGTTTTAAGATGCAGAGCTTGAATATTAATTATGAGCTCTAATGTAATTAAAGATGCAATAAATGATTATTTCCATTATCAATTAAGCTGTTGATTAAAACAAAATCAATTCCTTGTGCATGCCTATGACCTCACCAAGAAAAACAATCAATAATATATAAAAAGTGCAGAGAACAAGAGACAAATGTCCACAATGGACTGATAATCAATGAAATGTTTAGTACATGTGCAACCATTTATTCACTCTTTGTGCAGACCCTGATCACATCTGGTCCAGGAAATATATTTGCACAAATACAAAAATTTCACTTCTGCTCTATTTGCTTCACATGTGAAAATAAAATCTCTGTTTACAACGAACATTGTCGGTTTGTATTGAGTTCATCTGTGAAGCCTGTTTGGCTCACAGTCTATTTACATGTGCGCACAGCAACAGGCAGGAGGTACAACAGGCACCTCTATCGCTGTGTGCAAACAGGGAACACTGAGGTCTGTGTTGTTTTATATATGTGTTTGTGTATGTGATTGTTTTTGTCCCTTATCAGGACTCATTTTCACCGCTCAGCAGGTCGGCACAAAGAACGAGCTTCATTACAGGAACATCCTCGCTCTTTCCATATCTCTCTTCTTCTCCCTGTGTTAAATTCAGCCTGATTCAGATTCAGAATCTTCTGTCTCAGAGGATCACCTCTTACATGTGATCGTCTGCGTGCTGCAAAATAAAATGGAAAGTGGAAAGATGTCAATATTTGCTTTGTGCAAAGAGAAAGCTCAGTTATGGCTTCTGCTGAAAAGAAAGTTACCATGACGACAAACTGAACCAGGATGTTCACAGTTTCATGAAGCAACTCAGAGCTAAAGTGACTAATTTCCAGAGAGCCAGACTTGAGGGTAACCCTGACCCCGCTCAATCTGAAGTAATTAAATGTTGCTTAAGTAGAGTTAAAGAATCAAACATCCAGGTATCTGTTAAGAATACATGAGGGGCAGAAGCCACTCAGTTCATTCATCCTCTGAACTGCAACAAGCTGAGTTTTATTATTGACCAGGTCATTTAACCAAACCTATCTCCATGTAACTTTATTACCAGGTGACTGTGGACTCCATCTCCCTGTCATCATCATGAATGTGTCTTCTAGCATCTGCACGGCAGAGATGCCTTATAGGTTCGTCCCCCGTCTTAAAGGGCTGTACATCGCCACCGAGCTCATCATCGCCGTTCTGGCCATCATCGGAAACTTCCTGGTTTGCCTGGCTGTCACCCGCAACAAGAAGCTTCGCACTGTCACCAACTACTTTCTGGTGGGGAGACAAGTTCCACATCTTGAAATATGTGCAAGCAGCAGAGATGTGAGGGAGACAAACAGGGTGTGTGATTGTGTGTCTGAAGGTTTCACTGGCGGTGGCGGACATCCTGGTGGGCTTGGTGGCCATTCCCTGTGCAGTGCTGACGGACCTGGGTGAACCTCACCATAACATGCCCCTCTGCCTGGTGCTGCTCAGCATCCTGATGGTGCTCACACAGGTGCATATTAAAAACACAAAACCTGCAACTCATGCTGATGAGATGTAAAAAGCTAAAGATGGGAAACTAAACAATAATTCAAGTCACTGCTCTGACCTCTGACCTCTCCAGAGCTCCATCCTGAGTCTCTTAGCCGTAGCAGCAGAGCGGTACATGGCCATCCTCCTGCCCTTCCAGTACCAGCGCATGATGAGCCCCAGGAACGCCCAGTTGGTGCTGCTGGTCACCTGGGGCCTCGGGGCCATCTCCGGCTCCGTGCCGCTCATCGATTGGAAACGACAGCCGGCAGACTCTGAGTAAGAGGTTGACAATGGGATGATGGACGGATGAATGGATGGATGCAAAGAATAAATGTGGTTGAGAATTAAAGACTGAAAGTCAGGAGGATGGTGTGGATGAGTGGAGGAAGACAGATCTCAGAGGTTTAACCCCAATCATGTGTCTCATTCCAGCTACTGTATCTTCACGTGTGTGGTGGACATGAGCTACATGGTCTACTTCAACTTCTTCTGCTGCCTCCTGGTTCCCCTGGTGGCCATGATCATCATCTACTGCCACATCTTCCTCACCGTTCGCCGCCAACTCAGACGCATCGCCGTGGCCAGAGGAACCGCGGAGGACGGGAGAGCTGCCGTCTGTGGGAGCAGCGAGACCGGGACAGAGGACACTGGCAGTTCAGCTGCTGAAGGAAGAGAAGGTGCAGGATGTGAACCAGACCTGAGGATGGGAGACGTCAGACAGCTCGAGGACAAGAAGAGTAAGACTGAAGTCAAATCTGGCAACGAGTCTCTGATTGACACTGAGACTTCTACAGTCTTTACGAAGACAGGGTTCAGGATCTCCTCAGCTAATTTAGGCTCTGCTCCCGCTGACCTCCGTCCAGGAGAGTCCCCCAGGGCCAAATCCAAGACCCGCACCTTACAGGAGCTGCGGAAGGCCACCTCGCTTTTCCTGGTCCTCTTTCTCTTCACTGTGTGCTGGCTGCCCATTCACCTCATCAACTGCATCCTGCTGCTCTGCCCGCACTGTGACGTGCCCATGTCGCTCACGCTCGTGGCCATTTTGCTTTCCCACGCCAACTCGGCCCTGAACCCGATCCTGTACGCGTACAGGATGAGGTCATTCCGACACACGCTGATCGGAATGTGGAGGGGGATGTGGAGCGCTGGGCCGAAGCACCAGTAGAGACGCAAACAGCAAACAACTGGAAACAACACTGCAACACAATCACGTTTCAGGCTGATGGGAACGTCATTAGTTGTGCATGTGTTTTGTTATCGACCAATATTACATTTTGACCTAATTAAGGTGCGAGACAAAGTTCTAATAATGAATCATGATGGTAAATGAATGTCTGGACCTGATGTCATTGTGATCCATTCAGTGGGTGAGCTGGTGTTTCATTCTGGACCAATAATGTCATCCACATGGTGCTGGAGGAAAACTCAGAGGATGGAAAAGCAAGACAGAGAAACATGTTTTCACCTCTGGGAGACATAAACTACAAAAATCCTTCATTGAAATATAAAATCACATCGATGTCATATTAAATAATATCATATGCTTTTTTTCAATTTTTATACATTTGCATTATAATTTGTATTTTGTGACTTATTCAGGTAAACGGTGAATAAATGAATTCTTGTGTGTGACACTGATCATTCAAAGGTGTAAGATTTCCAAACCAGAGGCGAGTGAAGTCAACATAACTGCGTGCTTTATTGATATACAGTAAAGCATTTTATAATACAGTAGTAAGGCATATATTTGGTGGAATCTGATATGTTGTGAAGAACTGATGCGTTATTTGAAAAATCATGTGAAAATGAAACAAATGTTAAAAATGAAAAAAAAGAAAAAAAGAAAGACAAACAAAATCAAATTCAGTGTCTGGACCAAAAAGTAAAACCTCTGGGATCATGCTGCAAGAATATGATGTCGGAAACACACGTGTGTTTTTAATGCCAGGACTTCTCTGAGTGGTTACACGTTAAATAAGGATGGAGTTCGTTTAGTCACACATGCTAATATGGTAACACCTCACACGGCACAAAACTAAAATGTTTAACCAAAGACAAAATGTTTCACTGTAACACAACTAGAATAAATGGATCCTCCGCACACAGAAAACAAATATCTAGTATATCCCAGGTTTGACAGTAGTGCACATGGATTACTTTGATTTGAAATGTTTCAATACTTGAATATTAGAAAAACCGAGAAATGCAGCGAATGCATTCAAACATTCAGACTGGAGGATCCTACAGCGCAGTTAGGAGCTATAAGGACATCGGACCTGAATCAATCCATCGGCCGGCAATAATCAAATCATAATTAACAATCTGAGAAGAGTGCAGGATTGAGTACAGTAGAGAAATTGCCTCTGAACTAGACTTAAACAATTTACACGAGGTAGAGCTTATGTTACTGGGCTTCTTTTGTTGTTGAAATCAAAATGTTCAAAATTAACTTTTCCTCAGAAATACTCTCAGCTTCAACCAGCAGAGACCCGCAGCGCTCAGATTCAGCTGACACAACATTCATCCCACGTCCTCTTACACAGTGACTCTGACAGGGAGAAGCTGCCAACTTATAAACCAATACACAGTGTACAGTGTGCACGCAACAGGCCCTACAAAAGATCCTTGTACAGTAATATGTACCAGTGCAATAGTCGGGGTATCTTTCTTAAAAAAATACAAGTTCATCCTGAAGGAGTCTGTAGAGCCCTGTGCAGAACTGAAGATTTAAAAATCCTCATCGTTTCATTCATTCAAACACTGATTCTCCGACAAAGCTACTGATCAAACGATGGCCACGTTGGCTCCTCCCAGAATAGAAGGCTGCCTCGTCTCTACCTCGACTTCTGAGGTGTCAGAGAAAGAAAGAGACCGAAGACACGAGCTGTGTAATGGAGTGTGGGTTCCTGACCTGAGCCTGTCGCCAGAAAACCTCTGAAATGATATTTGGGTTCTGGTCGGTCTCGTTGGCGGATTTTGTTTTTACTCTGCACATATCTGTAACCAGGGAGAAGAAGGAATAACCATGTGTGTCAGGGACAGTAACATGAACTCAGTGCAGCTTTATGTGGCACATTACTGCCACACACTGTCAATCAGTGAAATAGCTTGAACACGTCAGCAGGACTGAGGTGTGTCTGTGTTTGTACACGAAGATGGACGACACGTCTACACTTCCTCACACTGTACAAAAATAAAGCCAGAATATTTCCTATCCGGGCGCTGCCATTTTGGTGCCAGGGTCTGTGCAGTAGTGATCATGACTTTTCACACTATTGTTATAGCATCAAATAATGAATAACAATCAAACTTGCTTCAGGGACAGAAACAATCTTTAGGAAAAATATATTTGGTGTTGAAGATGTTTTTGCTTCACTTTTGGGAGCTGCCATGTCGTCCATCGTTATATAAAGTCTTTGACCTGCTCTTAAAGACGCAGCTCCACAGTGAAGTGTAGTAGTGGCCACAAACTCACCGAGTGCGTTGGAAGCGACCTCGCTGACTTATCTCAGTTCTGACTCAGGCCTTTACAACATCTGCGTATGCACACGGTACACTGTGCCAAAAAAAACAAATACAAAGATAAATCCTGTTGCCATGGAGATGCTCAGAAAAAGGGAAGATGAAAAGATGGATGGATGAATGGACAGATGAGTGGATGGATGAAAGAAAAAGAAAATATAATATGAGGTTTGTAAGCCAAAGCAAAAAAAAAAAAAGCTGTAATGTAATGTGGAAATTAGGCACCACAAACAAACACACACACACACACACACACATCCATACATAAACACACACACACAGGCTCACAGACAACGTACTGTAAAGACCCAGGACGCCTGCATTACCTTGACAGTAGTGTACACTGTTGTTGAAAGACAGTTTCCTCTTTGAAAGCACCCTTATGATTACAATCATTCTCTTTTGATACAAATGTCTGAAATGCTTTTAGCTTTTTTTCCCCAATTACAAAGAGATGACAAATATATGACCACACTGAACACACTTATTTGTATCTCATCCGACCCCCGGCCTCCCCCCCGGTTTTATACAGTTGCATAGAAGTTTAAAAACCAGCCTCTGTTATTAATAAAACAACTTCAGGACGTTTAAGAAACTACTGAAATCTACAAGTTATAATGTTTTTCTTTTTTTTCTTTTTTTAAACGCATCGTTGGAACCGCAATCCTTCACAAAAATAGACGTTATATATTCTCTTTGTAAACTGTGTTTCCAATCCAGTTGTTTTGACTAGAAAAGCATGCTATAGGGAAGGAGGGGGGAAGGGGGGATCAGTAGGGCAGGGCCTCGTGCTGTTCGGCGCTCTGCTCGTCCGTCATCACGTTGACCAGTGACTCCATGGCGCGGCCCAGGTCGTCGGCCATGTGGAACAAACTGCCGATGCTGGGACCTGGAGGGAGGGAGGGAGGGAGAGAGAGAGGCTTAGATAACACAGACTTGCGGAGAGTAGCACTCACACATGATAAAACGTGTACAGTGCTGTAAATCAACACATTTGTTGATCTTGTCACAAGTCATAAACTGTTCAGAGCTGGTTTTACCATCCATCCTGCATTAAATGTGTCCCATGTGACCGCATCTCACTTCTCTGCTCTTCTCCCACATGTCATCTGTGTTTAACTTTAACCATCACGATGTGGAGGAGTATCATAAGAGATGCAGTGAGGAAGCATATCGCTGCGTTCAGACCTGAACTTGTGATCAGATCCCCCAGGACGGATGTTAATGCGAGGTCTGAACAGGGTCATTGATACACAGCCCAGTATCTGCAGCTATGAGAAGTCTGATATGAGAGTCAAAGTGAACTTCAGCTGCTAAATGTTTAAATGAATTCCATGTGTTCCACTCAATGAATGATGAAGTTTAAATGGAGTGCGACAAGCAAATTCACTTTAATGATATCTAAACTTATAGCAATGACAAATTCTATTATTCCGCTCTAAAGAAAACACTGAGATGTTCTTTCATCTAAAGCCGTAATGGAAAATATAATAAAGCTGAACGTATATGCAAACACACACAAACACGCAGCTCTACAGCACAAACTCTATTCCCTATTGTGTGACAGAGGACAGAGGAAATTAAAAACAGGTAACAGGAGGGAGGACAGATATTTGCTTTCCCCCACTGTACCATGATGTCTCCTCTCTGCCATCATGTCTGTCGACTGAATGCTTTATGCACAGTGCGGTCCCATTATGAATCTGACTGTTAGATCACGATGTTCTGGCTAAGATCCATATGGAGACAGCAGCGGTACAGTCATGGCACATGTGCAGCGGAAACAGACCTCAGAGGGGGAAAGAGGAAAAGGTGGAGGTGGAGAAGGTTGAGCCACTAACCTCTCATGGGTGTCCCCTTCTCCCTCCTGGCTCATGGAGAAAAGGAGGAAAGGAAGAAAAGACAAGAGGACAGAAGGAAACAGAGAGTTGAAATCAGCCTCAAATCAGAGAAAGAAAGATGTCTGATACCTCGCTCTCATACGTCTGGAATATCTAGAATAATGACACAACAATGGTGGACAGAGAAACTCACAGAGCTTGTTTCTGTAACACATCATGGACGATACTGTCACTGAAGATTCCTCAGGGGTGATTCGTCCCTAATCTGTCTCTTATTTTTGTCTAATTTCAATGTATGTGATGGTGTCGGTGTTTTTCTGTACCCTGGCTATGAGGGAAGGAACTGTTGAGCTGCTCCATCACTTCCTCCAGCCCAGATGCATCTTGGGATGGGCTGGACAGCTCATCGTCACCTGAAACGGGAAGGAGATGAAGATATTTTCCATTATGAGAAATCTGCTTCCTAAAATAAGTCACATTGTTTAAGTTGGGAGCAACACACACACACGCACGCACGCACACACACACGCACACACAAACAGAAATACAATGTCTTTTAAAATTGTTGATGCAAATTAGAGGAAGTCTGTGTGTGTGTGTGTGTGTGTGTGTGTGTGTGTGTGTGTGTGTGTGTGTGTGTGTGTGTGCGTGCTCACCCATTGTATCAGTAGTCTGGCTGGCTGCCACACGGAGCAGAGGGAGGGAGGAGTCTGAACGCTGAGATGAGGTGGAGGGAGAAGACAGAGCTGTGCCGTTCACCTTGGAATCCGTCTGAGACACACACACACACACAGAGACACACACACACACACACACAGAGACACACACACACACACACA